TGAATTTGGCGAACGAAAAACATTATATTCATAGTCACCTTCAATGACTAACGTGGGCAAAACTTAAAACGAATATGTCCGCAATCCACAAACAATCACTTCACAAATCATGCTAATGGCGAGCATTTACCAACCCGCGACAATCGTGTCAACTTGGGGATTCCCCTAGCAATAAACTCGCTTCTAAACTCACTGCTGTTCTACTGTCGGGTAGCCACGATGGCTAGACTGGACCCTTCTGGAATGGTTCATGCCATAAAAGTCCAACAACGGAACACTAATTAAGACGGGCCGACCTTGTGTTCATGGTCTGGTGAACACAGGTCAATGGCGGCTCGTTAACTCAAGATTCACATCTCACTGTTTTGATTTATCTCACTATTCTTTTAATATGTTTTCCAACTTCAACTGAAACCCGGTCCCGTGTTACACACATGGCACACGCGTGTGCAACGAGTGACTCACGCGTGCTCAACGGGTTGCACACGCGCTGCACATCCGTTGCACACCAGTGTCATATGCGTGTTACACGCGTTCTCAACGCGTGTTAGGGGAATGAGGTGGTGAAATGGGGTTTAACGTCGCGTCCAAGATTATTGCACTTATATAGCGACGTGCATGCACGTGTATGTGTGTGTGGCTGCTTGTACTAGTCCGGACTGATGCCGATTTATAGTGCTAGCTCACTGAGATACCATGCCGCAGTTTAACATGAATACCCCACTCAGACACAGTATACTGACTCCGAGCTGACCAGTCCTTGTTTTAGCCCCTTGATGCCGAGCGCCAGACAGGGTAACAACAAGTACCATCTTTTAACGTCTTTTGGTATGACGCGGCTGGGGATCGAACCCCGGACCTTCCGCTCTCCGGGCGGATGCTCTACCATTAGACCACGGAGGCGGTCGTTAGGGGAATGAACTTTTAGGCAGTAGTGTATGTGTGTGAAAAATAACACTGACAAATAACACAAAACTTCGCATTGAAAATATATTTATGTTTCCCATGTAAAATAAAACAGAAAACAATCTTGCATGTTATATTGTAAACACACTGGTGAGTGTGAGAGTATGGTATTACACAACTACAACATCCAAGCAGTATCACAGAGGGCCCCCGAGAATGAGCTCAGGGACCCTAATATCTTTTCAGTAACAACTTTAAAACATTAGCTTGTTTTCTCTTAATGGAGGTGCACATCACATTTGGAGCCCACAACATTTTTTTTTCACGACATGGAACAAATTTGTGGAACAAATTGTTTGAAAAATAAATCCCCTCGCCCTGTCTTTTATTTTTTAACACTCAATACATTCTAGTTTTGCTATTGTATCCTGGCAAACTGGCTGAGAAATCAGTTAAACAAGAAACTTGTTCGGGCTTAATACTATCTCAACTCACATTGGCAAAATGTTGGCATTTTTTCAATAGTATGCATCTAACTGTACACTTGACAAGCCCACAACAGATAACAGTTTGTTTTGATTTTGTTGAACATAATTTTGGCTAGCCAGATGTTTTTACATTAAGCATGTTTACATGACACTTTTTATGGATAACAACTTCAATTATTCTTCTTATTATCCATTAAAAGTGTCATGTTTTTATGTGCTTCCAACTTCTAAATGTCTTTCAAAAAATTCATTAACAATGTTATCAGCACAAAAGATTAACTCTGGTCCTATGAAAGAATTGGACGGTCCTTAACTTTTGAGTAGGAAATAACCATTGAAGGAATGCCCATGTTACGTCTACTTCTGGGGTGTTGTACTCTAGCAGCTATATACAATACAGATCACAAAGAAATCATTCACATTTGTCTCACCATGAAGTCACTTTATAACCTGCCAGGGGGGTCAGTTCTCCCATTGATAATGAACATCCTGATACAATGTCCACCACCTCCATTGGGGAGGCCTTCAAAGGCTTAATGTCAGATAAGAATGTTGATTCCTGAAGTGTTGGTGAGTGAGTGAGTGAGTTGGGTTTAACGCCGCTTTTAACAGTATTCCAGTTATATCACGGCGTGTCAGCTTAATGTGGGAGGAAAGCCCCAAGTGATGCAGGTCTCAGACGTTTACCACTTCTGTGAAACCCACGAGCACGGGTATGGTGCTGACAAACCTAGAAACATAATCGGGGCGAACCGGGATTCGAACCCACAATCATAGGTTTCTGGCGTGCCCAAGGGACGCAACTCTGCACAGCGAATCGCGGCACCTTAGACGACTGGGCCATCCGTGCCCTCCCTGAAGTTTTGGATTGGGTTAAAAGGTTTTCAAGTTTTCCCAAATCAACTTTTCAAGGATCGAAGATCAAGTCAATAAATGGCATCATCAAATGATTTTTTCTGAAAATGAACATTACACAATCCTTTGTAAGACGTGTTGTAATACAAGAAAGAGCATCAGTTGACCTTTCTTGGTGAACTGGTTTTCTCAATAATTTGTTATGCAACAGTGCTACGATTGTGTGCTTCCTGTTGGCAAGTTTCTAACAATTTAGTTGTAGGAGGGGTGTAAGGTATTTTTCAGAACTTCAGGAATTAAGATTTTTATCTGACCTCAAACAATTGAAGTGCTCCCTTTACACAATACATTGCTGAAGCTGATGGAACTTTATGGCAGGGGCCAGGGCCTGGTATTTTGAGACCAGTCTTCAGTCAGCTACAGCTGTGAAACCACATTTTTTAATTCTAATTATGAGCCTAAATATATGTTTGTCAATTATTGTGCGCAAAAAATGTCATTTTGTTGAGACAATTTCTTTCTTTTATAACAGTCTGAAGCATATTTATTTTTAAAGCATTTTCTGCAACAATGTTTTTGGCAATAAAAACCCAGCCCTCCTTAAGATCAGTCAGTCCCTTAGGTGTTGAAAAGTTCAAGGTCTTCAACATTCCAGCCTGTGTGATACTGAACCAAACCTGGTGACACATGGCCCTTCATGAACAGCACAAGCTGCAATGTCAGCAAAATCAATGAAAGCCCAATAAATGCAAATCCAGGACAACATGTCCAGACAAGGTGTAAATAAGTGAAACCTGTCTGACTCAAAACAATTGTAGTTTTCCATTCTTCGAGAACACTTAGAACCAATATTTGCTTGTAGTCAGATCACGGTATGATCATTAATATATTCTTCTCAAAAGAAGAACATCCTATTCTATAGTCATAGAATTCTATGTTTCATACTACTATAGCTAATCTGTCATGTTTCATATTACTATAGTTGATTTGTCATGTTTCATATTACTATAGTTGATTTGTCATGTTTCATATTACTATAGCTAATAAGTCATGTTTCATATTACTATAGTTAATCTGTCATGTTTCATACTGCTATAGTTAATCTGTCATGTTTCATATTACTATAGCTAATAAGTCATGTTTCATATTACTATAGCTAATCTGTCATGTTTCATATTACTATAGTTAATAAGTCATGTTTCATATTACTATAGATAATCTGTCATGTTTCATATTACTATAGTCAATCTGTCATGTTTCATACTACTATAGCTAATCTGTCATGTTTCATACTACTATAGTTAATCTGTCATGTTTCATATTACTATAGCTAATCTGTCATGTTTCATATTACTAAAGTTAATCTTTCATGGGAAGACAGATTAACCGTAGCCATATGAAAGAATCAGGCTTTCTTTTGAGTAGTATACATCACATCAATATGTCAAAAGCTACGTCAACTTACAAGAAGTGAACAAGGTATGTCTGTGCTACTTTTCTCGAACGTTTAGTCCGGATTCCTTGTCAACCAAATCTTCATTAACAAATAGGTGCTTACTGTGGCAGAATAAAAACATGTCACTCATAAAGAAATGAAATGTTGAGGTCAGAAGCACAAAACAAATGTGTATGCCTATCTGTGTTTGACCTTATGTGATATGTCCCAATAAACTAGGGAGGGTGGGAGGTGGCCCAGTTGTCTAAGGCAGTTGTTGGAGCTGTGTTCCTTAGGCCTGCCAGGATCCTGTGACCTTGTGTTTGAATCCCAGATTGGCCCTGATTATGGTTTGTCAGCAATATAATAATGCTCATGGGTGGTATATGCAGTCATTGACTTTAACCACTAGTCCAAAGGCCGCGTCTAGTAAATTTCGCATTGGTCCAATAAGTTCAGTTATAAAGAGTGAGTGAGTGAGTGAGTTGGGTTTAACACCGCTTTTAACAGTATTCCAGTTATATCACGGCGTGTCAGCTTAATGTGGGAGGAAAGCCCGAAGTGATGCAGGTCTTAGAGGTTTACCACTTCGGTGAAACCCACGAGCACGGGTATGGTGCTGACAAACCTAGAAACATAATCGGGGTGTACCGGGATTCGAACCGACAATCATAGGAGTTATAAAGAGTCCATGTGATAACACTAAAATGTAAAATGTAAAATGATGCTAAGAGCTGAGTTTGGGGTAGTAGACTCAAAAGTTGTTGGCACAGAGCAGAAAAGGTCGACGTCCTTCATCACTTTGTATTTATGTTCGCCCCTCCTTTCTACAAACACACTTCTACAACTACATAAGGTGGAGTGAGTGATATAGGATCTAGTCTTATTGAAGACGTTGGCAATGGCACATCTGGTCAAACTCATGGTCAAGGCCCGGTGAAGACAAACCAAGGATCATAACTGGAGTGATTCTCGGATTCAAACCAATGACGCTGGCAGCCAAGGGACACAATTCACACAGCTGGGATAGGAACTTAGATGAAGGTTTTGGATAATGATGGGTTAGGGTTAAGGTTAAGGTTAGTGTAAGGGTTAAGGTTTTTGGTAGTGGCTGGGTTAGGGTTGAGGTTTTTGGTAGTGGCTGGGTTAGGGTTGAGGTTTTTGGTAGTGGCTGGGTTAGGGTTTGTGGCTTTTGGTAGTTGCTGGGTTAGGGTTGAGGTTTTGGGTAGTGGCTGGGTTAGGGTTAAGGTTTTGGGTAGTGGCTGGGTTAGGGTTAGCTGGATGGAAGACACTCTGCACATGGCTAAACAGTTTTGGGTAGTGGCTGGGTAAGGGTTGAGGTTTTGGGTAGTGGCTGGTTTAGGGTTGAGGTTTTGGGTAGTGGCTGGGTTAGGGTTGAGGTTTTGGGTAGTGGCTGGGTTAGGGATGAGGTTTTGGGTAGTGGCTGGGTTAGGGTTGAGGTTTTTGGTAGTGGCTGGGTTAGGGTTGAGGTTTTTGGTAGTGGCTGGGTTAGGGTTGAGGCTTTTGGTAGTTGCTGGGTTAGGGTTGAGGTTTTGGGTAGTGGCTGGGTTAGGGTTAAGGTTTTGGGTAGTGGCTGGGTTAGGGTTAGCTGGATGGAAGACACTCTGCACATGGCTAAACAGTTTATACACTGCTGTCTGTAAAAACTGGTGATACCTATATCAAGTAACATTTATTTACACCAACTGCCACATGCAAAGCACAACTTACATTTCATTATCGTCATTATATATCAATAAAGTAAATGACATATTCAACATATTTGGCTATCTTATCATTCACAAGACATCTCAGTACAGTGAAAACTCATTAATATAGAAAGTACCTTTCCTTGTGAAATCATCAGGATTAATAAATTTCCGGATTAACGAATCATGGGTTCATGGGTGCAGAGTAATGTGACTATATATGTGATGGTGGGATTCCAGAACAACCGGTCCAGGCTTATGAGGCCTCACTTTAGCCATGGTAACGGAGCCTTGATGATACTTGGATCATAAGAGTAACTGAACAAGTATCCTGTGGGGACTGTGGGAGAGGGTTAAGGTTAGGGTTAGGGTTAGGGTTAGGGTTAGGGTTAGGGTAGGGTTAGGGTGCCTCATACCGTCCAAAGAGTCAACTAAAATGGTTCTTGGCCAATCATGTATCAATGTAGGGCATAGTCTTGTTTGTTTGTCATAGGAATAGCTAAAATATTGCCGACATAGGCATAAAACAAACATAATTACTGTATGTGACGTAATAAGCGCCCCACTCTAATAAGCGCCCATGGCGATATTTACTAATATATTGGCTAGTGAACAATCCCAATTAGCACCTCTTCCGATTGATCAATGTAAATTATTATGGGCAATTAAATTCTGGAAAAATATATCTGTCGTATAAAAACATTTCAGGCTGCCAGCATAAACTACAAAATTTATCTTCAACTCTGTTTTTTTCACCAAAATAATATTCTAATAAGAGCCCCCTATTTCTAATTTTGAGAGCGCCCTGGATGCTTATTATGTCAAATACAGTATAATTCAAATGTATCTTTCACAGAATCACATGATCTTCATGAATGTACAGATAATCTCAGTTTGTGAAACATGCTTAAATGGTGATACCATGCATCCTGTGACCATCACAGAAACTCCATATAAAAGACAGTGGATCCACTTTCAGAAACTCCATATAAAAGACAGTGGATCCAGTCTCAGAAACTCCATATAAAAGACAGTGGATCCAGTCTCAGAAACTCTATATAAAAGACAGTGGATCCAGTATCAGAAACTCCATAGAACAGACAGTGGATCAAGTATCAGAAACTCTACATAAAAGACAGTGGATCCAATATCAGAAACTCGACCTAAAAGACAGTGGATCCAGTATCAGAAACTCCATATAACAGACAGTGGATCCAGTATCAGAAACTCTATATAAAAGACAGTGGATCCAGTATCAGAAACTCCATATAAAAGACAGTGGATCCAGTATCAGAAACTCCATATAAAAGACAGTGGATCCAGTATCAGAAACTCTATATAACAGACAGTGGATCCAGTATCAGAAACTCTATAAAACAGACAGTGGATCCAGTATCAGAAACTCCATATAAAAGACAGTAGATCCAGTATCAGAAACTCCATAGAACAGACAGTGGATCCAATATCAGAAACTCGACATAAAAGACAGTGGATCCAGTATCAGAAACTCGACATAAAAGACAGTGGATCCAGTATCAGAAACTCCATATAACAGACAGTGGATCCAGTATCAGAAACTCTATATAACAGACAGTGGATCCAGTATCAGAAACTCTATATAACAGACAGTGGATCCAGTATCAGAAACTCCATATAAAAGACAGTGGATCCAGTATCAGAAACTCCATATAAAAGACAGTGGATCCAGTATCAGAAACTCTATATAACAGACTAGGGAGCCAGTATCAGAAACTCTATATAACAGACAGTGGATCCAGTATCAGAAACTTCATATAACAGACAGTGGATCCAGTATCAGAAACTCCATAGAACAGACAGTGGATCCAGTATCAGAAACTCCATATAAAAGACAGTGGATCCAGTATCAGAAACTCTATATAAAAGACAGTGGAATCAGTATCAGAAACTCCACATCAAAGAAAGCACCAGATACTGTTCACAGAAGCCGATGGCTCTAACATGGACGAGGATGCCATCCACGAGCTGAGTTTATACATCTGTACCAACAATCAACCATACATGTAGTCACCCATGGTCATTTATACTCAAGGTCAAGTTTATCACAAGTATTTTCACACGTTGTTCCCGATATCATAACAACACAGATACTCCGAGATCTTCCGGTAGAAATACTACCAGGTCAAATAGAATATTAGTTGTCAGCTATCATTGTCAAGTAAGGTCAAGGTTGTAATGGACGTGCTCAATAACAACCGTCTGAAGATCACAAAGTTTGTTTCCACTTGGAAACATGTGTCGTTGTCAGCAAAGCACAGGTATTCTCCGAGAAGACAAGCCATCAGGTCACATCACTTCATCCGTTTGTATGCCACAGTTTGCTGAATCACAAAAAATACTGAATCAAATGACATTTGATATATGATTTTATGAGAACGGGAAACAGGATATTATCATATTCTTACAAATGGGGAGTCATAACAGCTATGTGAGTGAGTGAGTATGGTTTTACGCCGCTTTTAGTAATGTTCCAGCAATATCACGGCAGGAAGACACATTGTACCCACGTGGGGAATTGAACCAATGTCTTCGGCTTGACAAGCAAATACTTTAATCATGAGGCTACCCCCCTCTCCCCCCCCAGAAACAACTTACACCCAGCACTTGGTAACTGCATGAGTGAGTGAATGTTGTTCCAATAAATCAAGTCTGTGCCCGACAAATCAGTCGTTGATATTTTTAGCAATGGATCATGTTGTCAGGGTACAATGACAACCAGAGGTGGGTGAAATGGCGTTTAACATCACGTCCAAGATTATTGCATTTATATAGCATGTGCATGCACATGTGTGTTCGGCTGCTTGTAGTATGGACTAATGCCGATTTTATAACACTAGCCCACTGATTATAAGACCCGTGAAGATTCCGGGGTAGAATAGGTCTTCAGCAACCCATGCTTGCCGTAAAAGGCGACTGTGCTTGTCGTAAAAGGCGACTAACCAGATCGGGTGGTCAGGCTAGCTGACTTGGTTGATGCATGTCATTGATCCCAATTGCGTGGATCGATGCTCATGATATTAATCACTGGATTGTCTGGTCCAGACTCGATTATTTACAGACCGCCGTCATATAGCTGGAATATTGCTGAGTGCGGCGTAAAACAACCAACCCACTGATTATACCACTACCATGCCACAGATTCACATGAATACCCCACTCAGACACAGTATACCGACTCCGAGCTGACCAGTCCTTGTTTTAGCCCCTTAAAACCGAGCGTCAGACAGGGTAACAACAAGTACCATCTTTTAACGTCTTTTGGTATGACGCAGCCAGGGATCGAACCTCTGACCTTCCGCTCTGCGGGCGGATCTCTACCACTGGACCACGGAGGCGGTCAATGACAATGAGAGGCTGGCCAATCAATCACTGTTTTAGTGGGCTCCTAATCTTTGCTCAAAATCAATAGGCAGAGCTCAGCCATTGGTCTCAACAGGCCTGACAAACACAAACCAGTATGGCTCGGTCCATGCTTGCCGTGAATACCCTGACCATGTCTCAATTGTTTGATTCAGGTAAATCCGGGGTAGAATAGGTCTTCAGCAACCCATGCTTGCCCTAAGAGGTGACTATGCTTGTCGTAAGAGGCAACTAATGGGATCAGACTCGCTGACTTGATGCATGTGATCATATCCAAATTGCGTTGATCGATGCTCATGATGTCAATTACTGGATTGTCTGGTCCTGCCTCAATTATTAACAGACCGCCGTCGTATAGCTGGAATATTGCTGAGTATGGCGTTAAACATCAAACAAACAAACATGACATGGCACACCACGGTCATTGGTTTCAACAGCCAGGTAAATAAAAGTGACAGAAACCCTTTCCATAAGCATAAGAAAGTCCATTGTGCCATTCCAACTATATCACTCACCGGCATTATTCGGTCCTTGGTTTCTATGGGCAGGAGAAATGCCGTGATGGCACAGATAAAGCAAAGCAAGCCGTACAGCCATGTTGCTGCAATGATGGATGCTGCCAGGAGGACCTGTGCTACAAATGGGGTGATCATCGCCCCGACGCGGGCCCAGGAAGAGGCTGTGCCCATGCCCAGCGTGCGTATAGACGTCGGGTACACCTGGAACATGTCACAGCGCTTGTACAGTCGTAGACAGAAACAGTGAATATATGCCTAACAATAGGTGGAGGAGGAACACTTGTGATGATATTGAACTTTTTACAGGGCTATTTCCATGACCATGACTATTTCAGGATGCAACAACTAAGTGAGTGAGTTGGCTTTAACACCGCTTTTAACAGTATTCCAGTTATATCGCGGTGTGTCAGCTTAATGTGGGAGGAAAGCCCCAAGTGATGCAGGTCTCAGACGTTAACCACTTCGGTGAAACCCACGAGCACGGGTATGGTGCTGACAAACCTAGAAACATAGTCGGGGCGAACCAGGATTCGAACCCACAATCATAGGTTTCTGGCGTGCCCAAGGGACGCAATCTGCACAGCGAATCGCGGCGCCTTAGACGGCTGGGCCACCTGTGCCCCTTGCACCAACTACGAACCAATAGCAGTTACAATGTCAGTATATACAGACTAGTTAGCTTGAGTACAGGTGTATAAGCATGCTCCGATCTACATTGCTGCTCTTCCAATCACATCCACTCGGACAACCTCGGGCAAATCCCTGCTACTTTGCTTCAGTGTGCATCTTGAATTGGCCAGATGCACTGTGTAGCGTCAGGTAAGTATAAAAACATTGCATTTAATCAGAAATGCTCATGTGTATTAGGGCTGGAACGAGTCCAAATTTACCATATAGTTCTAGATCATTTTTGTCATTAAACAATATATCAAGTGACTAACCACGGGTTGGGGTAGTCCTGTGGGACCCGGGTCATTCTCAGTTCCCACCTGACCAGTGTACCCAAGTACACATCCCAACCCCAGCACCAACTGATTACTAACAGTGAATATACATATCTCTCTCAGTATTTCTAATTATTCAAACATTCTGCTTGATTCAAAGTATACTTATCCTGAATCTTGATCACCGTCTACTGACCTCCTTAATATGCTGTGCCTTGACCTCGAACATTACTGAGTTTATAGTTTCTTACTAATTATATGACTAATTAGTTGACCAATGAACTCACCTACGATGAGTATATATTTGACCCCTCACCTTTCATGAGTATATGTGACCCCTGACCCCATCTCTGCTGAGTGTATATGAGTGACCCCTGACCTCATCTCTGATGACTATATATGTGTGACCCCTGACCTCATCTCTGATGACTATATATGTGTGACCCCTGACCTCATCTCTGATGACTATATATGAGTGACCCCTGACCTCACCTCTGGTGACTATATATGTGTGACCCCTGACCTCATCTCTGATGACTATATATGTGTGACGCCTGACCTCATCTCTGGTGACTATATATGTGTGACCCCTGACCTCATCTCTGGTGACTATATATGTGTGACCCCTGACCTCATCTCTGATGAGTTTATATGAGTGACCCCTGACCTCATCTCTGATGAGTATATATGAATGACCCCCGACCTCAGCTCTGATGACTATATATGAGTGACCCCTGACCTCACCTCTGATGAGTATATATGAGTGACCCCTGACCTCAGCTCTGATGACTATATATGAGTGACCCCTGACCTCATCTCTGATGACTATATGAGTGACCCCTGACCTCATCTCTGGTGACTATATATGTGTGACCCCTGACCTCATCTCTGGTGACTATATATGTGTGACCCCTGACCTCATCTCTGGTGACTATATATGTGTGACCCCTGACCTCATCTCTGATGAGTTTATATGAGTGACCCCTGACCTCATCTCTGATGAGTATATATGAATGACCCCCGACCTCAGCTCTGATGACTATATATGAGTGACCCCTGACCTCACCTCTGATGAGTATATATGTGTGACCCCTGACCTCATCTCTGATGAGTATATATGAGTGACCCCTGACCTCATCTCTGATGAGTATATATGTGTGACCCTTGACCTCATCTCTGATGACTATATATGAGTGACCCCTGACCTCACCTCTGGTGACTATATATGTGTGACCCCTGACCTCATCTCTGATGAGTATATATGTGTGACCCCTGACCTCATCTGATGACTATATATGTGTGACCCCTGACCTCATCTCTGATGAGTATATATGAGTGACCCCTGACCTCATCTGATGACTATATATGAGTGACCCCTGACCTCACCTCTGATGAGTATATATATATCCAGTTGAAGGTGGCGGCAGAGAAACCTCGGACAGCAAACATGAAGCCGGTGAGGACGCTCCTGGACACGGGGATCTGGAGGAGGATGAAGAATAGACCGCACCCAGATAGGTTCACTGTTCCTGTGATCCGACGACCAACCCGGTCAATCAGCAGCCAGTTCACTGGCAAACCTATAACAAAACAGGGTCAATCAGCAGCCAGTTGACTGGCAAACCTATAACAAAACAGGGTCAATCAGCAGCCAGTTGACTGGCAAACCTATAACAAAACAGGGTCATTCAGCAGTCAGTTGACTCAGGTACTCCGCTACATCTACAAGACAATCAATAGTCCGTAAGCGGGAGCCCAAAGTAAGGTTATTCATACCCATTTCAATCACGAGATTTGGCTTGGGCTCCAAATATGCCTCGACAGAAAGGTTGTCCAAACCTTTAGAAAGCTAACCTACATGACATGTTTATTTCGACCAGATCAGAGGCCATATTCGACCACAAATCTCCAGCAAATGACAGTAAAATTTCCAATTTAACCAATATTGTGATTTCCCCTCAGTTTGCCTGCCAACTTAAAGGCACATAGTTTTGAATCCTGAATAAATCCCTCATACATGAACTCTGCTAGACATATACTTACATATGAATTCTCCTAGTGTTGATATAATCATCGTCCTGTAATCATCAGCCGTCAGGTAATTGCACGAACACACATCACTATCTGAAACAGGAGACAACATTCACTGGCACATCACACATCACTCTCTGAAACAGGAGACAACGTTCACTGGCACATCTCACATCACTCTCTGAAACAAGAGACAACGTTAACTGGCACATCCAACATCACTCTCTGAAACAGGAGACAACGTTCACTGGCACATCTCACATCACTCTCTGAAACAAGAGACAACGTTAACTGGCACATCCAACATCACTCTCTGAAACAGGAGACAACGTTCACTGGCACATCTCACATCACTCTCTGAAACAAGAGACAACGTTAACTGGCACATCCAACATCACTCTCTGAAACAGGAGACAACGTTCACTGGCACATCACACATCACTGACAGATTTTGTTGATGATAGTACATTGTATAACTACATTTACAAATCTGGCAATTCAAAAACATGAGTGAGTGAGTATTGATTTATGTCATTCTTAGCAACGTCACAACAGGGGAGGTGATAATAGGCATGCAATTCAGTGTGCACAGAGTAATGTCCCTTGGGCACACCAGAACCTTATGATTGAGGGTCTGAATCCCAGTTGCCCAAATTATGTTTCTAGGTTTGTCAGCACCATACCCGTGCTCATGGGTTTCACCGAAGTGCATCACTTTAGTACACGCTGTGATATAACTGGAATACTGTTCAAAGCGGCGTTCAAACCAATTCACCCTCAAGTTGTAGTTACATTTTTCATTTTCTACTCGCAGGATCTCAGCGCTTGCTAGCACCATGCCGTAGTATGAGAAGGCCGTCCCAAACCACAGCAACCAGAGCTGCAGGGTCGAGCGGAGGTAGTTCTTGTTGAACAGGTCAGAAAACTTGCCACGCTCCACCTGAAACATGGCCACATTGTATGCTCACTACAGTGCATCAGTTGACATCTATTTTTGGCAAGAGAGTTGCAGACGTAAGGTTTTTTTACATTGTCACTCTCAACATGAGAATACTGCACACAAGGCCGTAGTTAACTTTTTTTGACAGGGGGGGGCAAATATTTGAACAAGTATCACTTGTCCACAACTTGTATTTTCAAGTCAAATAGAACTGTTTTCTATAAACAAAATCAAATTCAAACAAATCTTCCATTTGTTTTAATTCTTTTACAATGGCAGATTAAAACATGTCGGCAAGATAAATTTGTTGTATTAAACCACATATGCCTCTCGTGATACTGCTACAACTTATACTTGTTTTTTTTGGTTTGACAGTGGTCTGGAAATAACTGACTTTGGATAAGACAATCCAGTGATGGTTAATGCCAGCAATTATCCATGTCTTCAGGGTACGATGACACAAAATCAACCAAATCACTGAGCCGGACCATCCAATCCACATGGTTGCCTCTTACAACAAGCATTGGGGCGGTCGGGTAGCCTAGTGGTTAAAGCGTTCGCTCGTCACACCGAAGACCCGGGTTCGATTCCCGACATGGGTACAATGTGTGAAGCCCATTTGTGGTGTCCCCCGCTGGGATATTGCTGGAATATTGCTAAAAGCGGCGTAAAACCATACTCACTCACTACAACAAGCATAAGTTGCTGGGGAATAATTCTATCCCAGAATCACCAGTGTTCCTCATATGTACTAAGGGCAGTGTTTAAAATACCCGCTGACCATCAGTCCAAGATGGTCTATTTTGCTGACGGATGGTCAGTTTTGAAAAGTTGCATGCCCAATGGTCAGGAGTTTAATAAAGTTACCAAGTTACCAATCCACCAGTTTATTTATATTGACTGAGAACTAGCAGAACTCACATTAAACAGTTCTATTCTTAAGTTTGCCCTTTTGTAAATTTTATTCATCAGCCTAGAAAATTCCTGACTGGCAACATTTTATTTGGTCCAGTAACTTAGCAATGTCTCCAGTCCAGTTGCCTGACTGAAATTGTGGGGAATGTTATACACTGCTTAGGTCCTTGCTTTAGTAAGCAGCCACCACTGTACTCTGCCCTCCCTCACACATACACATGCTTTATTTTATGTCCCATACTTATATAACACTTACCTAATTCCTCCCTTTGTTGTTTATCAAAACTATTTTGAAGCCTAACTAGTCACAATTAAGCTGGTCAAAGAAAACATAGTCCTTAGTAACATCATACAGTGATCGCTCGCTATTGCGCTCTTCGATAAAGCGCTACTTTGGTTACTATGCATGGTAACGCATGGCTCCCATAATTTATGTACACTTTTAATACTGAGAGTTTTACACAGACATGATTGTATCGTTGTTCGTTGTTCATTTGTACCTTGAAAACCTCTTGTGCAAGGGCAGATCAAGCATTCTTTAAAGGGAGGGGGCCTAAATATAAAATCCTCTCTCCGATAATTTTACTGCCAGACACCCCCTTTTGAAAACCAAATGTAGTAGCCTGTAGTAGCCTGTAGTAGCCTGTACCCACCTCCACAGCTTCTGTTTGTACTAATCTCCCCTTGGGTAGAGATGTTTTGTTTATTTTGGCAGCTCGCTGTAACGCTGCTAGCGCCTCGTCATGCCGACCGGCTGCAACCAGGAACCGGGCAGACTCAGGGATAAACTGTAACAGAACAATACTCCACAGGTAACAGAACAATAGTCCATATTAACAGAACAATACTCCATATGTAACGGAACAATACTCCATATGTAACAGAACAATACTCCATATGTAAAGGAACAATACTCCATACGTAACAGTACATTACTCCAAATGTAACAAAACAATACTCCATATGTAAAGGAACAATACTCCATATGTAAGAGACGAATACTCCATATGCAACAGAACAATTCTCCATATGTAACAGAACAATACTCCATATGTAACAGAACAATACTCCATATGTAACAGAACAATACTCCATATGTAAAGGAACAATACTCCATATGTAACAGAACAATACTCCATACGTAACAGAACAATACTCCATATGTAACACAACAATACTCCATATGTAACAGAACAATACTCCATATGTAACAGAACAATACTCCATATGTAAAGGAACAATACTCCATATGTAACACAACAATACTCCATACGTAACAGAACAATACTCCATATGTAACAGAACAATACTCCATATGTAACAGAACAATACTCCATATGCAACAGAACAATACTCTATATGTAAAGGAACAATACTCCATATGTAACAAAACAATACTCCATATGTAAAGGAACAATACTCCATATGCAACAGAACAATACTCTATACGTAAGAGAACAATACTCCATATATAACAGGACGATACTCCATATGTAACAGAACAATACTCCACATGTAACACAACAATACTCCATATGTAACACAACAATACTCCATACGTAACAGAACAATACTCCATATGTAACAGAACAATACTCCATATGTAACAAAACAATACTCCATATGTAAAGGAACAATACTCCATATGCAACAGAACAATACTCTATACGTAAGAGAACAATACTCCATATATAACAGAACAATACTCCATATGTAACAGAACAATACTCCATATGTAAAGGAACAATACTCCATATGTAACAGAACAATACTCCATATATAACAGAACAATACTCCATATGTAACAGAACAATACTCCATATGTAACACAACAATACTCCACATGTAACAGAACAATACTCCATATGTAACAGAACAATACTCCATATGTAACACAACAATACTCCATATCTCATAGAACAATACTCCATATGTAACAGAACAATACTCCATATGTAACAGAACAATACTCCATATGTAACAGGAACAATACTCCATATCTAACAGAACAATACTCCATATGCAACAGAACAATACTCTATATGTAACAGAACAATACTCCATATGTAACAAAACAATACTCCATATGTAAAGGAACAATACTCCATATGCAACCGAACAATACTCTATACGTAAGAGAACAATACTCCATATATAACAGGACAATACTCCATATGTAACAGAACAATACTCCACATGTAACAGAACAATACTCCATATGAAACACAACATTACTCCATACGTAACAGAACAATACTCCATATGTAACAGAACAATACTCCATATGTAACAAAACAATACTCTATATGTAAAGGAACAATACTCCATATGCAACAGAACAATACTCTATACGTAAGAGAACAATACTCCATATATAACAGAACAATACTCCATATGTAACAGAACAATAGTCCATATGTAACAGAACAATACTCCACATGTAACACAACAATACTCCATATGTAACACAACAATACTGGATGTCACAGAACAATACTCCATATGTAACACAACAATACTCCATATGTCATAAAACAATACTCCATATGTAACAGAACAATACTCCATATGTAACAGAACAATACTCCATATGTAACACAACAATACTCCATATGTAACACAACAATACTCCATATGTAACAGAACAATACTCCATATGTAACAAAACAATACTCCATATGTAACAGAACAATACTCCATAGCTCATAGAACAATACTTCATATGTAACAGAACAATACTCCATAGCTCATAGAACAATACTTCATATGTTACAGAACAATACTCCATATGTAACAGAACAATACTGGATGTCACAGAACAATACTCCACATGTAACACAACAATATTCCATATGTAACACAACAATACTCCATATGTAACAGAACAATACTCCATATGTAACAGAACAATACTCCATATGTAACAGGAACAATACTCCATATCTAACAGAACAATACTCCATATGCAACAGAACAATACTCCATAGCTCATAGAACAATACTTCATATGTAACAGAACAATACTCCATAGCTCATAGAACAATACTTCATATGTTACAGAACAATACTCCATATGTAACACAACAATACTCCATTGGAACAGAACAATACATAAAAAACGACTCAACATAAGAACATAAGAAGCATGTTCAGCGCATCTCACGCACTCACTCACTCACTCACTCTGGACGTCTCCTGAATGTGTGAACACACAGGACTACTTACACAGAGAAAGAACAAGGCCATAACAATGGGAATAGCAGACAAAACCAGCAGCCATCGCCAGCCCAGCGTGGGGATCACCACTGACGCGAGGAACATCTCAAACATGCTGCCAGACGCCCAGAATATCTGCAGACACGAAACACAGAATATCTGCAGACACAGAAACACACTCAGTTGGATATTTTCAATTATGATATATACTTACAAGAAAAATAACATACAATGTTACCATACAGGTAGAAAGATTAAATGTAAGAATTTTACGACACTTTCACATGCGCACTTTACGGATTCTCAATGCTGATTGGACAGCTGAAGAAAGTTCACATCATTACACTATTCATTCATTTGGGACTCACCAGTGAGGTACGAGGAATTACGGATAGAGTCACCAGTGAGGTACGAGGAATTACGGAAAGAGTCACCAGTGAGGTACGGGGAATTACGGATAGTGTTACCAGTGGGGTACGAGGAATTACAGGATAGAGTCACCAGTGAGGTACGAGGAATTACGGATAGAGTCACCAGTGAGGTACGAGGAATTACGGATAGAGTCACCAGTGGGGTACAAGGAATTACGGATAGAGTTACCAGTGGGGTACGAGGAATTACAGATAGAGTTACGAGGAATTACGGATAGAGTTACCAGTGGTGTATGAGGAATTACGGATAGAGTTACCAGTGAGGTAGGAGGAATTATGGATAGAGTTACCAGTGAGGTACGAGGAATTACAGATAGAGCTACCAGTGAGGTACGAGGAATTACGGATAGTGTTACCAGTGAGGTAGGAGGAATTACGGACAGAGCTACCAGTGAGGTAAAAGGAATTACGGATAGAGCTACCAGTGAGGTACGAGGAATTACGGATAGAATTACCAGCGGGGTACAAGGAATTACGGATAGAGTTACCAGCGGGGTACCAGGAATTACGGATCAGAGAGTTACCAGTGAGGTACAACGAATTACGGATTAGAGTTACCAGCGGGGTACAGGGAATTACGGATTGGAAAGTTACCAGCGAGGTACGAGGAATTACGGATTAGAAAATTACCAGCGGGGTACAAGGAATTACGAATTAGAGAGTAACCGTCGAGGTATGAAAAATTACGGATTAGAGAGTTATTGCAAGGTAAGATGAATTCCGGATTAGACAGTTACAAGCAAGCAATAAATAGAATGGGAATTACCTTGAAGTGTTATTCCCCAAGCTAAACCAATCAGATATCTATGTTTGTTGGAACCTCCAAAGGTTATTGTAGCTAACACAGTTTGGTATGTTCAATCTATATGATGTCAATAAAAAGAATTATTGACCAAATAATGCAATATGAATAAAGCCTATGCTTCCATACAGTCTAAAAGTGTCTGTGTGGGTACAGCATGGACACTCATAGGTCATGGGCTACCAGTCATGGCTACTCACCTGGCCTGATATAAGCAGTCTGGCTCGATACTTGGATGGGACGTACTCCGCCAGCAAGGCAAACCTGCAACATGGTGGGACATCATCAAACATGGGGTCGTGAGCTTCTCACAACTCATAGCCGTATCCTGAAGTGGAGCCAGTTTGTTGAACATCTACCATTTGGAGCCAATATGTTAAACACCAACCCTTTGTAGCCAGTTTCTTGAACACCAACCCTTTGGAGCCAGTTTGTTGAACACCTACCCCTTGGAGCCAGTATGTTAAAATCATGCCCCTTGGAGCCAGTATGTGAAAAAGCTGCCGCTTTGAGCCAATATGTTAAACATCTCCCCCTTGGAGCCAGTATGTTAAACACCCACCCCTTGGAGCCAGTGTGTTAAACACATGCCCCTTGGAGCCAGTATGTGAAACACATACACCTTGGAGCCAGTATGTTAAACACATACCCCTTGGAGCCAGTGTGTAAAACACATGCCCCTTGGAGCCAGTATGTGAAACACATGCACCTTGGAGCCAGTATGTTAAACACATACCCCTTGGAGCCAGTGTGTAAAACACATGCCCCTTGGAGCCAGTGTGTGAAATACATGCACCTTGGAGCCAGTATGTAAAACACCTACCCCTTGGAGCCAGTATGTTAAACACATGCCCCTTGGAGCCAGTATGTTAAACACATGCCCCTTGGAGCCAGTATGTGAAACACCTACCCCTTGGAGCCAGTATGTTAAACACATGCCCCTTGGAGCCAGTATGTTGAACACATGCCCCTTGGAGCCAGTATGTTAAACACATGCCCCTTGGAGCCAGTTTGTTAAACACCTACCCCTTGGAGCCAGTATGTTAAACACAGGCCCCTTGGAGCCAGTATGTTAAACACCTACCCCTTGGAGCCAGTTTGTTAAACACCCACCCCTTGGAGCCAGTTTGTTAAACACCTACCCCTTGGAGCCAGTATGTTAAACACCCACCCCTTGGAGCCAGTATGTGAAACACATACCCCTTGAAGCCAGTATGTGAAACACATGCCCCTTGGAGCCAGTATGTGAAACACCCACCCCTTGGAGCCAGTATGTGAAACACATGCCCCTTGGAGCCAGTATGTGAAACACCCACCCCTTGGAGCCAGTATGTGAAACACATGCCCCTAGGAGCCAGTATGTGAAACACCCACCCCTTGGAGCCAGTTTGTTAAACACCCACCCCTTGGAGCCAGTATGTGAAACACATACCCCTTGGAGCCAGTATGTGAAACACATGCCCCTTGGAGCCAGTATGTGAAACACCCACCCCTTGGAGCCAGTATGTGAAACACATGCCCCTTGGAGCCAGTATGTGAAACACCCACCCCTTGGAGCCAGTATGTGAAACACATGCCCCTTGGAGCCAGTATGTGAAACACCCACCCCTTGGAGCCAGTTTGTTAAACACCCACCCCTTGGAGCCAGTATGTGAAACACATACCCCTTGAAGCCAGTATGTGAAACACCCACCCCTTGGAGCCAGTTTGTTAAACACCTACCCCTTGGAGCCAGTATGTGAAACACATGCCCCTTGGAGCCAGTTTGTTAAACACCTACCCCTTGGAGCCAGTATGTGAAACACCCACCCCTTGGAGCCAGTTTGTTAAACACCCACCCCTTGGAGCCAGTATGTGAAACACATACCCCTTGAAGCCAGTATGTGAAACACCCACCCCTTGGAGCCAGTATGTTAAACACATGCCCCTTGGAGCCAGTATGTTAAACACGTGCCCCTTGGAGCCAGTATGTGAAACACATGCCCCTTGGAGCCAGTATGTGAAACACATGCCCCTTGGAGCCAATATGTTAAACACATGCCCCTTGGAGCAAGTATGTTAAACACGTGCCCCTTGGAGCCAGAGTGTGAAGTGCCTACCCCTTGGAGCCAGTATGTTGAACACCTACCCCTTGGAGCCAGTATGTTGAACACCTACCCCTTGGAGCCAGTATGTGAAACACATACCCCTTGAAGCCAGTATGTGAAACACATGCCCCTTGGAGCCAGTATGTTGAACACCTACCCCTTGGAGCCTATACTTTACAGACCTACTCCTTTGAGCCAGCATGATAAGCACTTTCCCCTGATAGAGAAACCCAGTGTGTTGAACACTTTCCCCTTTTGGAGAAACCTAGTATATTTAACACTTTCCCCTAATGGAAAAACCAAGTATATTTAACACTTTCCCCTAATGGAGAAATGCAGTATATTTAACACTTTCCCCTAATGGAGAAACCTAGTATATTTAACACTTCCCCTAATGGAGAAACCTAGTATATTTAACACTTTCCCCTAATGGAGAAACCCAGTATATTTAACACTTTCCCCAAATGGAGCCACCCAGTATATTTAACACTTTCCCCTAATGGAGAAACCTAGTATATTTAACACTTTCCCTTCTTGGAGCCACCCAGTATATTTAACACTTTCCCCTAATGGAGAAACCCAGTATATTTAACACTTTCCCCTCTTGGAGCCACCCAGTATATTTAACACTTTCCCCAAATGGAGAAACCTAGTATATATAACACTTTCCCCTAAGGGAGAAACCCAGTATATTTAACACTTTCCCCACATGGAGAAACCTTGTATATTAAACACTTTCCCCTAATGGAGAAACCTAGTATATTTAACACTTTCCCCTAATGGAGAAACCCAGTATATTTAACACTTCCCCAAATGGAGAAACCCAGTATTTTTAACACTTTCCCCAAATGGAGAAACCTTGTATATTTAACACTTTCCCCTAATGGAGAAACCTAGTATATTTAACACTTTCCCCTAATGGAGAAACCTAGTATATTTAACACTTTCCCCTAATGGAGAAACCTAGTATATTTAATACTTCCCCAAATGGACCTACTCAATGTGTTGAACATTTTCCCCTCTTGGAGCCACCCAGTATATTTAACACTTACCCCTAATGGAGAAACCCAGTATATTTAACACTTTCCCCTCTTGGAGCCACCCAGTATATTTAACACTTTCCCCAAATGGAGAAACCTAGTATATATAACACTTTCCCCTAAGGGAGAAACCCAGTATATTTAACACTTTCCCCACATGGAGAAACCTTGTATATTTAACACTTTCCCCTAATGGAGAAACCTAGTATATTTAACACTTTCCCCTAATGGAGAAACCCAGTATATTTAACACTTCCCCAAATGGAGAAACCTAGTATATTTAACACTTTCCCCAAATGGAGAAACCTTGTATATTTAACACTTTCCCCAAATGGAGAAACCTTGTATATTTAACACTTTCCCCTAATAGAGAAACCTAGTATATTTAACACTTTCCCCTAATGGAGAAACCTAGTATATTTAACACTTCCCCTAATGGACCTACTATGAGTTGAACATTTTCCCCTCTTGAAGCCACCCTGCACATTGAACACTTTCCCCTCTTGGATCCACCCAGTATGTTGAACACTTCCCCAATATAGGGCCACCCTCGTATGTAACAAACCTACCCCTGGGGTGAGCCCCCCATTCCGGCGCCGACCAAACTCCGTAGAATGAGGATCCAAGTGTAGCTGGGACTGGCAGAAGTCAACATCCCGAAGTATCCAATCCACACCACCACTATGAACAGAGTCTGTGGAAACAAGCACACGTCAGTTATATATCACGTCAGTTGTCACGTCAGCAATATCACATGTCAGTTATATATCACGTCAGTTGTCACGTCAGCAATATCACATGTCAGTTATATATCACGTCAGTTGTCACGTCAGCAATATCACATGTCAGTTATATCATGTGTCAGTTATATCACATGTCAGTTATATCACATCCGCTATATCACATGTCAGTTATATCACATGTCACTTATATCATGTGTCAGTTATATCACATGTCAGTTATATCACGGGTCAGTTATATCACATGTCAGTTATATCATGTGTCAGTTATATCACATGTCAGTTATATCACGGGTCAGTTATATCACATGTCACTTATATCACTTCAGTAATATCACATGTCAGTTATATCATGTGTCAGTTATATCATGTGTCAGTTATATCATGTGTCAGTTATATCACATGTCACTTATATCACTTCAGTTATATAAGGTGTCAATTATATCACATGTCACTTATATCACATCCGCTTTATCACATGTCAGTTATATCATGTATCAGTTATATCACATGTCAGTTATATCATGTCAGCTATATCACATGTCAGTTATATCATGTCAGTTATATCACATGTCAGTTATATCATGTATCAGTTATATCACATGTCAGTTATATCATGTCAGCTATATCACATGTCAGTTATATCACGTCAGCTATATCATATGTCAGTTATGTCATGTGTCAGTTATATTACATGTCACTTATATCACATCCGCTATATCACGTGTCAGTTATATAACACATTAGTTACATCACATGTCACCTATATCACATGTAATCAGTAATATCATGTGTCAGTTATATTGCATGTCTGTTATATCATGTGTCAGTTATATCACATGTCAGTTAATCATGTCAGCTGTATCACATGTCAGTTATATCGCATGTCTGTTATATCATATGTCAGTTATATCACATGTCAGTTATATCATGTATCAGTTATATCACATGTCAGTTATATCACGTCAGCTATATCACATGTCAGTTATATCATGTCAGCTATACCATATGTCAGTTATGTCATGTGTCAGTTATATCACATGTCACTTATATCACATCCGCTATATCACGTGTCAGTTATATAACACATTAGTTACATCACATGTCACCTATATCACATGTAATCAGTAATATCATGTGTCAGTTATATCACATGTCAGTTAATCATGTCAGCTGTATCACATGTCAGTTATATCGCATGTCTGTTATATCATGTGTCAGTTAAATCACATGTCAGTTATATCATATGTCAGTTATATCGCATGTCAGTTATATCATGTGTCAGTTATATCATGTGTCAGTTATATCACATGTCAGTTAATCATATCAGCTGTATCACATGTCAGTTATATCACATGTCACTTATATCATGTGTCAGTCATATCATGTCAGTTATATCATATGTCAGTTATATCACATGCCATTTATATCATATGTCAGTTACATGATGTGTCAGTTATGTAAGCTGTTAGTTACATCATGTGTCAATTATATCACATGTCAATCATATCACATGTCACTTATATCACATATCAGTTATATCACATATCAGTTATATCACGTCAGTTATATCACATCAGTTATATTATGTCAGTTATATCACATGCCTGCTATATCATGTGTCAGTTATATCACATGTCAGTTATATCATGTTAGTTATATCACATGTCAGTTATATCATGTGTCAGTTATATCACATGTCAGTTATATCACATCAGTTATCTCATGTCAGTTATATCACATCAGTTATCTCATGTCAGTTATATCACATGTCAGTTATATCATGTGTCAGTTATATCACATGTCAGTTATATCATGTCAGTTATCTCATGTCAATTATATCATGCCAGTTATATCACGTCAGTTATGTCCTATGTCAATTTTATATCATGTATGAGTTATATCAAATAGCTTTCCAAAATCTTACCATTTTCCTGCCAATCTTGTCTCCAGACATTCCAAAAATTGGTGACATTATTCCCATGCCAAGAAACACCACCTGCAGTGAATGATGAACACAGATCTACAATACCACACAAACAATGATACATGCATAACAAATATTTGGCCTGTCGTCTTTGATAGGCATTTAGAAGTTGGGAGAACATGAATGCATCACACTTATTTATCGATGAACCTTCATTCCCCTGATGAAGGAACAAGAATTAGCTCTAAAACGTCATACAAAGAATAAAAAAAGTTGCTGTCCGTAAAAAAAGTGTCATGCATTCAATTGGCATGTCATATAACATAAGAGCCAAAATATTACATTAGCCAGTTATGAATAGCTGCATGAGCTTAATAAACAGAAGGAAGCTTTACTAGCTCTGGGCTAGCTGCTATGTGAATATGTTCAGTGTAACTAGTCTTATCATAAACAGATATAGTAGCAGAATCATGCAAATTAGTTCACAAGAAGACAATTGCGAAGTAGTGCACCAGTCATGACAAAGTAGATAATGTATTTTTCATAGAACACACATTAAAGAGCTTTAGTATATTGATTATCATAAATAATAAAGACTGTTTTTACGTAAAAGGCATTCATAAATCAATCATAAATAAATAAACCAGACAAATAAAGATGGCTGCATTACCGTTGTGAGCAGTGCCACCTGGTAGTGTTCCAGACTCCACTCACATCTCAAGGCAGGGGAGAGAACTGCAAGAAGCAACATTTCCAAGGCATCTGCAGCCTAAAGATAGAACACATACATAAAATAAGATACATCGGAGTACATACAAGGCAGATAACTGATCTCAGACATATAATGCAGAAGGGAAATAACTGGTGCTACCGAGAAGGGGAGACAATAGGTGCTACACAGAAGGGGAGAAAACAAGTGTTAAATAGAAGGGGAAAAACCTAGTGCTACATAGAAGGGGAGACAACAGGTGCTATACGGAAGGGGAGATAACTAGTGTTATATAAAAGGGCAGACAACATGTGCTACACAGAAGGGGAGATAACTGGTGTTACATAGAAGGGGAGACAACAGTTGCTACCAGGCTCCTCACAGTGATAGCCTTTTCATGGAGCTCTCTATACTATCGCTGCCACCAGTCAAAACTCCCCACTGTAATAGGTGGCCCCAACCATGCTTGGAGTTGAACTCCAACCGAATGACCATTATGTTTACAAACAAGTGACAACTGTCGTGATGCCGAATACACTAACCGCTGCTAAATTACTGTTCTTTGCTTGTCAATTTGAATTTCTATTTCATTAAAAATATCATGTAATTGATATAGTAAGAATGTAACGGAGACGTTGGTTGATTTTCCGTTAGTCTGCAATCTCAAACCAATCTGATTATACAAACAACAAAGTAAATTCATCTGGAAAACATAGTCAGTCGTAAACTTTTTCAAAATAAAATATGATGGCTTTCCCAAAGACATAAAAGTATAAACGTTACTACATTTGGGGTTAGAGGGCAAATTTCAAGATTCTTGTAATGGCCACGCCCACACTGGTGGCAGCGATGTAACTGAGAGTGTAACAAAGGTGTCAAGCGCTGGGAAGGAGCTTGAGTTGCTACATGGAACGGGAGACAACAGGTGCTACACAAAAAGGGGATAACTAGTGCTACACTGAAGGGGAGATAACTAGTGCTACATTGAAGGGGAGATAACTAGTGCTACACAAAAAGGGGATAACTAGTGCTACACTGAAGGGGAGATAACAAGTGCTACATTGAAGGGGAGATAACTAGTGCTACATTGAAGGGGAGATAACTAGTGCTACACTGAAGGGGAGATAACTAGTACTACATTGAAGGGGAGATAACTAGTGCTACATTGTAGGGGAGATTACTAGTGCTACATTGAAGGGGAGATAACTAGTGCTACACTGAAGGGGAGATGACTAGTGCTACAATGAAGGGGAGATAACTAGTGCTACATTGAAGGGAAGATAACTAGTGCTATGTTGAAGGAGAGATAACTAGTGCTACATTGAAGGGGATATAACTAGTACTACAATGAAGGGGAGATAACTAGTGCTACATTATGGGGAGATAACTAGTGCTACATTGAAGGGGAGATAACTAGTGCTACATTGAAGGGGAGATAACTAGTGCTACATTGAAGGAGAGATAACTAATGCTACATTGAAGGGGAGATAACTAGTGCTACATTGAAGGGGAGATAACTAGTGCTACACTGAAGGGGAGATGACTAGTGCTACATTGAAGGGAAGATAACTAGTGCTAGGTTAAGGGGAGAAAACTAGTGCTGCGTTGCAGGGGAGATAACTAGTGCAACATTGAAGGGGATATAACTAGTGCTCAGTTAAGGGGAGATAACTAGTGCTACGTTGAAGGGGATATAACTAGTACTACAATGAAGGGGAGATAACTAGTGCTACACTGAAGGGGAGATAACTAGTGCTACACTGAAGGGGATAACTAGTGCTACATTGAAGGGGAGATAACTAGTGCTACACTGAAGGGGAGATAACTAGTGCTACATTGAAGGGGAGATGACTAGTGCTACACTGAAGGGGAGATAACTAGTGCTAGGTTAAGGGGAGATAACTTATGCTACATTGAAGGGGAAATAACTAATGCTACATAGAAGGGGAGATAACTCGTTCTACATAGAAGGGGAGATAACTTGTGCTACATAGAAGGGAAGATAACTAATGCAACATAGAAGGGGAGATAACTAATGCTAGATAGAGGGGGTTACTAATGCTACATAGAAGGGGAGATAACTAGCGGTACATAGAAGGGGAGATAACTGGTACTTTATTCAGGGGTCACCAGGGCCGACTTACCGTGATGATTCCGCAGACAACAAAGAGTCTTAACTGGAACCAGCCGATTCCAATTGACTCCACCGCCTCCTCCACAGTGAATGTGTCCTTGACCTTTTCTTTCTTCCCATCATCCTCCTGTTCTTCTGTGTACTGCATATCAAACAGCACCTCGTCATCCGAGTCGGTAAGTCCGTCCTCACACAGGAAGGCAGTAGTCTCAGGGGAAGCTGAAGGATAACAGTAATTACTCTAAAATATGTTTTCATTCATAAAAAACAGATGATGAGCACTGCATATATATACCAAGTTTCATTGAAAAAGATTGAAGAGTTTATAAGTTACGGCTCAGAATAAGATAGGATTGCCCAAATCGCCAAAGAGTTGTGTCCCTTAGGTGAGCAAGGATGTGTTCATATCCCAGATTAACCCTGAATGATAAAAATCTTTGTTTCGTCAGCACCATATATGAGCTCACTGGTTTACCACAGTTGCAAATGTCTAAGACATGCATCACTTTGGGTTCCATCCTGTATGATAGAACTGAAACACTATTCAAAATGGCATTTCAACCCATCCTGCTACCTCACCTGCTCACAACTGAAGATGTTGTGGTAACAACAATACATTTATTGACCTCTTTCAGAAGCTGCAGTCAATAATCAAAACCAAAATATTTTGTTAACTGACCTCAGATAAAACACATAGTTTGAGAGATCTTACTTACATGGAAAGAATTTCCTTACTCCAAAGTTTTTTAACATTTGAAACAGTCAGTTCAAAATTAATCAAATAAATACTCGGTAACATCTGCAAGTTTGCAAACTCATAATAAGGGTCTTGTTCAATAAAGCTCAACAACAGTTGTAAGTCTATGTAAAATACGGGAGGTACGATCACCTTAGCGCTACGATAACTTTTGTGGAAGGGACCCCTTGTCTCAGAAATGTCAAGCATTATGATGACATCGCCCTATTGTTGTTGCAGTTGATTCTGAGTCAGTTGGGTGGATGAGTTGGGTTTAACACTGCTTATAACAGTATTCCAGTTATATCGCAGTTTGTCATCTTAATGTGGGAGGTAAGCCCGAAGTGATGCAGGTGTCAGACGATTACCACTTTGGTGAAACCCAAGAGTACGGGTTGGGTGCTGACAAACCTAGAAACATAATTGGGGTGAATCGGGATTCAAACCCACAATCATAGGTTTCTGGCGTGACCAAGGGACGCAACTCTGCACAGCGAATCACAGTGCCTTAGACGACTGGGCCACCCGTGCCCCCTAAAAGTCTGGATGGCAGACAGTCGATATACAATACAATGGGGTTAAACAATTGGGATTAGCATCTTATAAATAACGGCAATTAAGAGTTTCAAGGCATATAGATGACATGGCTCCAGGATAATTAGCCTTTGGAATTAAATGTTCATTCAGACAATGGTTGTCGTAAATCAGTCACAATGACACCACTGTAGGTCATAATGCAGAGTTTTAGAGAAATTATCTATCAACCATAGCATGGTTAATTCAGAGAAATCACTTGAATCTCTTGATTCCGGGAGTTGAATCAAGTCGCCATACAGGGCTCGTTGATTCTCATCACAGAATCAGATTCAAGTGATTTCTCCACTACAAAAGTTGTAGGCATTTTGTCCTAGAGTTAGTCTGAAACTCATCAACATCTCTGCAGCCTAACTAGAGACTATGACATTCTATTCCAGGCAGTTAGACACACAATGTTAATTTGCTGGGTCAGGAGCACCCCCAGGGATGACCTGGTTGTGGTGACCCCAGGTCTGGATATCCCTAGGCTGGGTCAGGAGCACCCCCAGGGATGACCGGGTTACGGTGACCCTAGGTCTGGATATCCCTAGTCCGGGTCAGGAGCACCCCCAGGGATGACCGGGTTACGGTGACCCCAGGTCTGGATATCCCTAGTCCGGGTCAGGAGCACCCCCAGGGATGACCAGGTTGTGGTGACCCCAGGTCTGGATATCCCTAGGCTGGGTCAGGAGCACCCCCAGGGATGACCTGGTTGTGGTGACCCCAGGTCTGGATATCCCTAGGCTGGGTCAGGAGCACCCCCAGGGATGCCCGGGTTGTGGTGACCCCAGGTCTGGATATCCCTAGTCCGGGTCAGGAGCACCCCCAGGGATGACCGGGTTGTGGTGACCCCAGGTCTGGATATTCCCAGTCCGGGTCAGGAGCACCCCCAGGGATGACCGGGTCGCTGTGACCCCTGGTCCGGTAGATCCCTGGGATGACCGGGTGCCTGTGACCGCAGGGTCCGGATATCCCTAGTCCTGGTCAGGAGCACCCCCAGGGATGACCGGGTTGTGGTGACCCCAGGTATGGATATTCCCAGTCCGGGTCAGGAGCACCCCCAGGGATGACCGGGTCGCTGCGACTCCAGGTCTGGATATTCCTAGGCTGGGTCAGGAGCACCCCAGGGATGACCGGGTTGTGGTGACCCCAGGTCTGGATATCCCTAGGCTGGGTCAGGAGCACCCCCAGGGATGACCGGGTTACGGTGACCCCAGGTCTGGATATCCCTTGTCTGGGTCAGGAGCACCCCCAGGACAATGCAGAGGTCGTCCGGGTCTTCGACCCCAGGACACCGACACCTCTCTGTGGCTCTCTCTTCCTAAATCATCATTCTCATTAGCAGCCCCCATTTTGCCAAAATATTAATAAATTTGAATTTCTATCATACTACTTGTTTTGTTGTCATTGCACAAAATCAACTCTAGTTTAATTGACACTGCTCACTTTGTTTAGCTATGAACCCATTTTTTACAAATCTTGCACTCATCACAACTCCTGTACATATCCATGTCACATAATTGTGCGTTGACATATAGCCTACCATTACATGTAATACAGACTGATCAGAATAGTTCACAGTCTCGAAATATAGAAGTATAAGATGGGAGTTGTCTATGATTCAAAACTGAGTGCCCTTGTGTCATAGATTCCGCTCCCTAATGTACATCGAACATTCTCATACAATGTATGCTCCCTCTTGTAACAGCATGGTGATCATTCCAGTGATCAGCAAATGTGCACGCCAACCTTATGAACTATATAAACTGTTCTAAAGACTGACAGTGTTTGTTATGTGGAGGTACCACACCTTGAGAACCAAATTGAGAAATAATTGTTACTTTGTTAAAATTGGGATTTTTATCATTTCTTTTTTTTCAAATTTAACATTGTATATTAACACTTTATTCTATGCAAACAACTGAATTATGTAAAACTTATCATCCAAAACTGGCTCCCACAGGAGATATCGCTTGGGTTAGATCAAGCGATATCTACATTGTAGATATGTTTAGTCAGTTAACTCCCTTGCTTCAGGAGATGGAAATTCAACAGTGTTCAATTGGATGACTATTTGGCTATTGGAATTGTGTAATTCACATCTGAATGAAAATATTATGGCGAATGGGTCCAGGATATTTATCATAATAAAATGGAGATATAACGTGTACATAATACACTGGATTATCGAAGGAGAGGTCTAGTTAAAACCCTGGTCTCGTCATACAAAAGACTTTAAAAGATGGTACTTGCAACCCTGCCTGGCACTCAGCACTAAGGGGCTAATACAAGGACTGGACAGCCAGGAGTCAGTATCCTGTGTCTGAGTGGGGTGTCCACTAGGGCAGGGACGGGCAACTCAGGTACCCGGGTCAGCTGGGTCCTGAGTAGGACCCGGGTACCCACAGGACTACCCAGACCCGTGGTTAATCATGTGATATGTTGTTTAATGACAAAAAATTATCTGGAACTCTATAGTTACACAACAAGTCACTAATGCATTTCTTTCTGACTATACACCCATTCCTTTTGACTTTTCATATGGTTGAATAAAGATATAACTTAAATCAACTTCAGTGTATGAATGACCAGATTGTTTAATATATGTATCTAAATACGTTTTGCCAGGGCTATGCTAAAAATGTTCCCAATCGGACATTTTGAGACATCTCCTGAGACCTACAGTGGGTACCCGAGTAGGGTCAGGTAATAGGGGGGTGGGAACCCGGGTAGTAAATTTGGACTCGTCCCAGCCCTAGTAACCACATTAAAGCTATAAAACCAACGTAAGTCCAAACTCCTACCAGCAACCACACACACATGCATGTCGCTATATAAATGCAATAATTTTAAACGCAACATTAAACATGTTAAACCCAATTCACTTTCATCTCTGGGGTCATGGTAGTTAGACTGTAGATAACACTATGGCCATGTAGAATGATGCAGTTGGACAATGCATATGAAGCCCGGATGTTATGGGAGTATTGATATCTCAAGGACAAGTATATTGATTGTCTATGCACTTATTCCAACATCATAATAATACATTTATGATGGACAATTGATGCATTCAATGGACAGAGGCAATAAACCTCGCCTTCCTAACACAATAATCGCTTGTGCAAGCACCTGCTTCAGACTCAACATGAGACATTAAGGTAATTTGTATAGTTATAGTACATATGCATGTTCCTTTGGTTCTTTGCATAACGAGAGGGGGGCGGATGTCTATGTCTATGTCAGACGGTGAGTGCACGAGGACTGACGTAATACATTGTGCACCTCGGCATGCAGTTATCATATACACGGCGGAACAAGCCGATTGATCTCGGAATGTATTACAAATTGCAGCGCCACCTATGATCCTGGGTTCGAACCCCCAGTTCGCCCCAATCATGTTTGTTTGTAAACAATGCTCGAGTTAACATCTGAGACCTGCATCACTTCAGGCTTTCCTCCAACATCAAGCTGACACGCAGTGATATAACTGGAATACTGTTCAAAGGGGCATTAAAATCCAACTCACTCACTTACTCTGTATGGTGAGTGGGTGAGTGAGTGAAGTTTTACACTGCTTTTAGCAATATTCCAGCAATATCACGGCGGGGGCACCAGAAATGGGCATCACACATTGTACCCATGTCTTCGGTGTGACGAGCGAGCGAATGCTTTAACCACAAGGCTACCCAACCCCCCTCTCTGTATGATGAGTGAATGAGTGAGTGAGTTTGGTTTAACGCCGCTTTTAACAGTATTCCAGTTATATCACGGCGTGTCAGCTAAATGTGGGAGGAAAGCCCGAAGTGATGCAGGTCTCGAACGTTTACCACTTCGGTGAAACCCACGAGCACGGGTATGGGGCAGGACAAACCAAGAAACATAATCGGGGCGTACCGGGATTTGA